CTACGCTTCCCCCCCGCGGGATTTCCTCCCCTTCCGCTCCGCCAGCGGCGGCGGCCGCGAGCTCTACTTCTACGAGGAGAAGGAGGTCGACCTGAGCGACATCATCAACACGCCGCTGCCCCGCGTGCCCCTCGACGTCTGCCTCAAGGGTGGGCCTAGGGGAGGTGGCAGGGGGCCCGGAGGCATCGTAAGGGGGTGACGACGGGTTTCGGGGTGGAGAAGAGCTGTTCCTTGCTGTTTGTCACCGTTTTTTGTCTCTCTCTTTTTTTTCTCTGCTCACTGGCTGAGCATCGAGGGGGTGCAACCCGCCATCCCCGAAAACCCTCCTCCAGGTGAGTGAGGGACCCAGGTGTCCCCAGAGCAGCCCCTCCTTCTCCTTGGACTCCCCATGGGAGATCTGTCCTCCTCATGGGGAAGATCTGCCACTAGCTCCTCTCGATCTGTTCTCCAAAAGAGAAAATTTGTCCCCGATCCCTGGTAGTTTTGCCTTCCCTGGGATAGATCTGCCCCCCGTCGAGGCGGATCTGCCCCCCTACCAGCACAAATCTGCCCCAGTCGGGGGGTAGATCTGCCCCCAGTCCTCCCATGCTCTGTCCCCAGCCCCCAAGGAGCAGCAGAAAGCCGAGGCCACGGAGCCGCTCAAATCCACCAAGCCGGGGCAGGAAGACGACGGGGCCCTGAAGGGCAAAGGCCAGAGCGTGGCCGCCCCTGACGGCAAAGGTAGGTCACGGAGAGGTCCCTGGGGTGTTTGAGAGGGGTCGCGGGTGTCCCGCAGGGCGTTTTGGGGCGCCCGTGGGGCTTTCAGGGTTGTCTCGCGCCGTGTCCCCAGGGAAGGAGAAGAAAGGCCCGTTGTTGGAGGGAGCCCCGCTGCGGCTGAAGCCCCGCAGCGTGCACGAGCTCTCCGTGGAGCAGCAGCTCTACTACAAGGAGATCACGGAGGCCTGCGTGGGCTCCTGCGAGGCCAAGCGAGCCGTGAGTGCCCCAGGGACGTCCCCCTGTCCCCAGCACCTCCCTCGGCGACATCCCGCTGTCCCCAGGTCCCCAGCATCCTCCTCCGGCATGTCCTGCCGTCCCCAGGTTCTCCTCGGGGGTGTCCTGCTGTCCCCAGCGCCCTCCCTGTGGGTGTCCCGCTGTCCCTGGGTCCTCTCTGCTGTCCCTGAGTCCCCAGTGCATCTGGCTGACCCCGTGTCCGCCTCCCGGTGACGTCTTTGTGTCCTCCTAGGAAGCCCTGCAGAGCATCGCCACCGATCCCGGTCTCTACCAGATGCTGCCGCGACCTTCATCTCGGAGGGGGTGAGCGCGAGGGGACCTCAGCCCCCAGCGTGGGTGGCCCCGCTGTCCCCGCTGCCTCCCTCTGACCCCGCCGCCTCCTCTCATCCCCAGGTCCGCGTGAACGTGGTGCAGAACAACCTGGCGCTGCTCATCTACCTCATGCGCATGGTGAAGGCCCTGATGGACAACCCCACGCTCTACCTGGAGAAATACGTGAGTCGGGGCCGCGGCTGCTCCCGTCTGCCCCCAGGCCTTGTCCTCTCGTCCTGTCCCTGTCCCCTGGGACTGCTTTTGGCCCCGTGTCGCGTCCCCCACCCC